TTTGGAGAACCTTTTTTATGATTTGGATGATTCGGGAATACTCGAGTAACGACGAGTAACGAACGATTAACGAAACAATTTTAATCACAAGCGAGTGACTGAGTCATCGAAGCCGTCATTAAACGAAGAATTAAAAAGGGTCGAGGACACTGCGCTTTGTTTTCGTCATTTCTGGCCGTCCTCCGCGAATTTTCGCTTCGGAAAGACTAGACGATTTGCATTCGTCCGCATCTACCAAGAATTTAGCGGAACATCTCTTAATCGTCCGTGCGGACGCTGGCCGTATACTTGATTTAATTTAATTTAAATATACGCACTACGCTCGCGCCAACAAATGACTGGTATTTCGAGGGACGCGCGACGACAGAGCTCACGTGCTTCGGGTTTAACGTGAAAATAGCAAGGAGACGAAGCGTTACGACGCAATTTATCATCGTTTCGATTTTTTCCCCTCGCGTTTGGACGTGGAAGGCAATCGCGCCCCTCCAATGTTGCGTCAATTGCGTTCATCCCTCGCTCGCGATGTTCCGCATCGAATTCATATTTATTATGCAACTTTTTTTTTCAAGTTCACGCTGGAAGGAGAGACATCGGACTTAATACACCGCTGAAACATTGAATGCGCTTTATGAATCCGTGAAAAATCAACGCAGTTAAAATTGTTAGCGAAGAGTAATGAACGTGTAGTACAGTTTTAACTACGGATAGGGTTAACTTTAGATTTAACGATGTTAAAATTCAAGATTAGGTTTTATGGCGCTATTTAAATTCGCGATTCACGTAAATTAACAGTCGTTTTGTTATGCCTGGTACTTTCCTTTAATTTACGTAACGAAGACGTTATAGTAGTAATTTACATATTAGGAATAGTCAAGGTTTATAGAGAACACGAAATTTAAAATAATCGTATAACTGAGAAACGCTAGAAGTGTTGGATCGTGCCTTTTTGCCAGCTGCGAGGAAGAAGGAAAACATTTCTCTCGGTCGCTTAAGCCGTTCTTAGTCGCTTATCAGCGGCCGGTGGCGTTAATTGTTCGATACACAGCCACCCACGCACGGAAGTCGACTTCCTCGCCTAATCGCCGGCGGAATTTACTTTCTTGATTCGGTATTTATGCACGGCACATTTTTCAGCGGAATTCCCGCGGGTGCGCGATATAAATCCTCCAGCGATAAACGCGCCGCCGTTGCAAAACCGCGAATGCGAATAAATTTAATCTGTTTACGCTCGTGGATCGACCAAATGGTCCATTCGAAATCGCTCTTCGTAAACTCTGTACTCACGAATGAAGAGGCAGTTTGATCTACTCCTTTAGACCAAACAAACTTTACTCTATTACTATCGATAATTGAAATAAATTTACGTACATATTCCTCCTCTTCTTGTTATTGTGAATTTTATTTATACATAATGTTTATAATAACACATGAAAATTCTTAAATTATAGCTGATATAAACTTTGTAAAAGGCTAAATTAATAATAATAAAATAAAATTCTTAAATCATTCCTATCCTATAAACATATTTGACGACTAACTTTTATATCGTTTTAGCTTGCGTATTTTTCATCTTCTCTTTGCTAATAATACATCAATTTGAAAAAAAACTTTCGTCATTGCATTTATTATTTTATATTCTGTAAGTATAGACTATATGAATAATGTTAAGTTGTTTAAATGGAATTTTTATTAAGATAAGTAGTTTGAGCGTTACCACACACACACACACACACACACACGCAAACACACACTTACCACAGTGACTGAATTTCTAAAAATTATCCTCATTCTTTGCAAATTCTTCGACACATTCTGCATTCTGAGAACCAGTAATATTTCAAAATTGTTCCGAACAGAGTTGCGTTTCTTTGATAGCTGAAGCAAGCTTCCAGAGGTGCGAGATTTTACGGCGTGCATGCGATTGCATACGCGACCTTAGGCACCCGTTACATTCCCGCCAGGTTTTATCGCAAGATCTAAATTAAGTCGTTCCTATTTTCCGCGTTGCAATAACTTTCCAGGACTATGAAATATTCTTGCACACACCGATTACCGAGTGTCCAGGTCGATACAAAAAGCTGGCTAGAAGAAAAACGCAATGTCGTGTTCCCATGAACGTACCGGAGCAAAAAGGCGATTTGCGATTCTCAGTGTCATCCGATCCGCGCTTTGTTTTCTCATAAAAGTGTCATTCCGCGTAATAATATTTGAACTTGAACCGAATAAAATCTGTTATGCAAAATTGAATTATTTAACGCACAAACAGAACATTAAATCGAAAAAATGGTATCACGATAGCAATTCGATATCGATATTCCGATATATTTCTTATGTGTTTTTGTCAAATTGTGTATAACATTTGAATTAGACTCGCTGATTATCGAAATAGATATAAATTACTGAATTGTATTTACGCCTTAAAATTCATCATTTAAAAAGAACACGCATGGTTTGAGTCGATAGGTATCTTGGACTGAAATTATTTACTAAAAAGAATATATTTCTTATCCGATGAAAACGGTTTTCGAAAGCTTAACCTAACCTATACGAAAACTTAATGACGTGAAACTTACATCGGACGAAAAATGGACGACCTCGAACTTGTACGTGCCGGCATTCGAGTCCCTGGTGTTACTGAATTTTGAATTATTATAGACGATGCACGTCGTCAATTATAAGAACAGGTGATTCATAAGCCATCGGATGTCGAAATGCACAGACGCATGACGTAGCTTTGACGGATAAGGAATTAGTAATACGTATGTGAAAGAATTTAAAGGCATTCAAGTCGCTGGGTTGGTTGAAATGTCGCGGCCCTAAATCTTTGATTCACTTAAAGCGTTTACAAATGTTACTTGATTCGTTTTTATTGATCAAAATATTATTAATACGTTTCACAACAGTTTCATTAGTAATGTATATGGAAGGTGTATGGAAGGAGGGCCTATGTTACAATTTTTGTTATTTTACGGAAATCGGGAACAACTATTAATTATATCGATTAGCAATGTCTTGAGCACATAGTGCAAAATAGACACTCTTCTTTCGATTTTAGGTGTTACTTTACTCTCTACTTTCGTCTTTAGGCTAAGCATTAGCGAGCAATAAAAGACTAGTTAGGACTAGTACTAAAAACTATCGAAAATTTGTAACATGGGCGGTTATTCCGGACCCTCGTTCAATTATCTTTATTACAGGAAAAAGAACGAAATGAATTTATCAATGGAATTAGTTATTTCAACGATTGCCACTAAATATCGCGGAAAAGACGCTATTAGTAATCGTGTAATTTTAAAGAGAACTATTTCTACAGACAAAGGTCACGAAAAAAGGACGTTCGAAGTAAAATTGCCATAAAAATCTGAACGAAGACAGCAAGTAGGTGTTGAACAGAGAAGCGATCATGGAGCAGCTCCTAATGGCGTGGTGTGCATGTAACTAGGCCGCCGCGGTGTTCGGGTGTGGCCGTGTCGCGCATTGTTTCTGAAATTACGATATTGTAGTTATTAATATTTATATATCGGCGAGCGGAGGATCGTCGCCGCGTGGCTGGCAGCGTCTACTTTCTAAAGTGGTCGAATGCCACCGCAGCGCGCGACGACGACGCACCTTGACCCGATGCCGAGTAAAATTGTCGCTTTCGCGACGAAAACGCCTCTAGGAAGTCGCGAGTTGATGGATGTCGATCTAACAGACTGCGCAAACTTTGGCTCCCGAACGCTGTAATCGTTCTTCAAATAAATAGAACGACTAAGCACCTAAAGAAGTCCCAGCGACGCGAAGTCGAATAGCCTGACGAAAGGTTGATAGAGACAGTATTTACTTGCTTTCGTTAGCTATACTTTGCACGATGTGACAATTCATGGGATACTTTTTTTTACCCAATTTTCAGGCAATTGTCGTGAGTTTTTTCAGCTAAAGTACTCGACATAAACTGTGTTAAAATTGGGTACGTTCATTTATTCATGTACATATATATGTATAAGATTCTCTAAATGTGCAACTGTCCTGTTCAATTTGTTACGAATTTACGAATAACATTCCACGTCTCGTCAAGTGGAACGAGTCCAAAATATCAACGCGATACAATCCGCTCTGGTAGAGTGGAACCAATGAAAATTGATTTTGTTCTATTCGTTATGGATATGGTTACAGCGTGCAATATGGGAACAAGTATTAAAAGAAAATTGACGAAATGAATCCACATAAAACTTGAATTGATTTTTTCGTAAAATTTGTGTCTGTAGTCTGTAGCATCGTGTTGTGGATTGTTCGTCTTTATCATTCTATCGACAATTCGAGAATACTCTTCGAAACCCTCAACCTTCGATCTAACGAATAATCTTCTTCACCGAATACACGTCCAAAATTAAACGTCTCAGCCCGGCCATAAAAAGGGACACTCCTGTCAGACCTTTCAACGATGGTCATCGCCATTCCACGTGTACAAGGTGACGACGGACCAATATACAATTTCGCCGATAAGCGCATTCGACGCTTGGACCAGGACTCGTGTTCCACGGGTCTTCGCTGTCGCAGCTGCTCGATATCCGGACGTCTAACCAAATCAGGTGGAGCAGCTTGGAATGCGCCCGTTACGAGGCCATTTGATTGACATTTCGGGGGCGCTCGTTTGTCACAGAAAAGCCTTAGTCCATTTGTTCATCCGTTCCCCTCGCCCCGTCTCCTTCACCCTTGCCGCATTACCTGAGTCTTATTTCCATCCAAGCGATTTACCCTCTTTCACCACCAGGCCTTTTCCCTCGTTTTTTAATTATTCTGGTCGGCTTCTACATTTTTTTATTCTTTTCGCCACGTGCATTAAGATAACGGAGCGAGCCCCATGCTGGGCTATCGGTCAAAGTCAGCCGAAGTCGTACGCGCGACACGTTCGAAAAAGGATCGCTTCTGCTTCCCTTTTTCCAACCCTGTCCGCCGCGCGGCAAGCGGCGCCCAGTCTTCTTTGCTTGGTGTTGAATTTTTTCCTGGTTTCTTTTCAGGCTCCGTATCAAGGCGAACAGACGAGAAATGAGGAAATCACGTTTGCCGAAGATTGGGTTCCTCGATTAGACTGCAGTCAGTCGCGGGCGTTAGGTTCGTACAGGATTCTTCCTTGTTCCGAATCAAATATTTCGATTTTGATATCTTTATTGTAACCGCGCTTGGAATATGTACAACTAACAAAATCTAATGTTCTTGTTCAGGTAATTGACACTTTTGTGATAAACTATTCTAGAGCATCTGACCCGAACCCCACGTCTCTCAACACTTTACACTCAATAGGCGACTCTCAGTCGCCATTGGGTATCGCGATACACCCAAAAATAAAAAGTCAAACATTTTTATTCTTTTAATATTTGCTTTTTACTGCAATCTGTTACAAAAAAAAAAAAAAAAAAAAAAAAAATAACAATGGACAATACTTTTGTCTCCCTATTAGTTCGGATACGGGAGTCCCTACTGTAGATTTCAATGAAAAATCTAACAAAACTTTAATACTTTTCCACATTAATTCGCGTATAAAAGCATACTGTGTCCGCTGAAAATAGTTGATCACGTATTCGCCTTGGTGGCCCGCCCTAGCGAAAACGTCGAGGGCGGTGAGTCGAGTAGCCGCTCGGCACCGCGGAAGGGTTACTTGCAGTTCCATTAATTACTTTCCAGTGAAACAGTAAACGATCTCGCGATGGTTCGCGTCAGGAATGAAATTCGAGAGCCGGATATGCCAGCTGCTGGCCGATGCAACTCATTGACATTATCATCGAGTTGCGAAGCGGCGATCGGCGGAACCAACCGGTCGTCATCGGGCGCACGATCGCTACGTGACATTTCCCCCGCTATAAAAATGCTGCGTCCGGTGGCAATTGCAGTAGCGTTGTCGATTCGTTAATAAACATCACGATGATCATCGTTGGCACCGTGGTAACGCCGAAAAAGGCGGAGCAGCTCGATGTAGCGTTAAAGACAATGGAACGCACGAAAAAGGCGCGAAATCCAGAATGTGTCGACCGGGCTGAACGCGATTGCGAAGGTGGGACACGTTTCAACGCGCAACGTTCCTCAAATAAATTATCAACGCTCTCCGGCATTCGCCGCGGAATCGACGATTCCATATGACCGGTTGGTGAACGGATGAATATGCTGCGGACACGCGGAACATGCCAAGCGTGCGCGATGCCTCTTCATTCACCCGTTTCGTCGTTCCTGGAGGGAATGTCGATCTCTCCTGGAAGGAGTCTCCGGGTTTATTTTCGACCCGACGCCTGGACTCGGGACATAAACATATAAATCGGTCTCCTGCACGACATGTTCGAATTGTCTGTACGGATAGGATCGAATGCAATATTTTAAACCTTTTGTATTCTCTACAAAAATTCTAACGATAGAGGATGATGTTCCAATTGTTTCGATTATATTATTACAATTGACTAATAGCAGTGGTAATACCGTTAATATCGTTAAAAGTACCTGCAGTGTTTGTGCCTTAGTTGACATTATTGATGATGATGTTTGTAATGCCAGTGTTGTTAAAGTTGTATCTACAGTGACGATGGTGTTATCGATAGGACGATTACCGTTGACGGTATTAGAAGTGACACACAGATGCAGCCAACGCATTGCCATTCCCATGGTTGCGATACCCTCATTAACGCTATTAGTAGTAGTCCTAACAGTACTTCTGAATCGACAAAATTAATCGCGCCCAAGAATTCTCGTTATCGATCTTGCTGCGTCGGGTTGCACCAGAAAAACCAAATGCATTAACAATTAATTAAGCTTCGCTATCGGCATGAATTCCACGGTACTCCCAAGCACGAATACTGTTATCTTTGCTAATACCGCAAATAATGTCTGTAATCGGAGCAGCGCCATTCGTTCGATAACTTTTTTGCCCGCTAATGGCACCATTAGCAATAAAACTGTCGCGATCTGTAAACGCCACTCGCAACTAGCAACACCACAACTATTATTAGCAGCGCGAGTAATAATTACACTAATGCTGCGGCCAGTTCCAGCGGCGTGACTCGCGTCTATTTCTTTTTCGTTCGGATGGTCAACGATGCGCTCGCTTACGCCGCTTTTATCGCGAATTCCAGCTTCGAGGTGCGCGCAACGTAGACGTTCACGTATCGATTCATCGAATGAGGGCCCGGCCGCGGTTGTACGATGATGTTCCGCCTGTCAACTGACGCGTGTTCGCAGGACGCGCATCGCAAGAGGGAAGGGAAAATTTGACCGAGTTCGCGCGCTCGATGACACCCGGAGTTCCGGTGATTATCGCGCGGAACACCGCTGAAACCTCAATCGAACCCTCCTCTAACGATTACATAATCTCTTGTACCGCGAAGACGCTGGAACAGTGAACCCAAGAGTCCTTATAGAGTGATGCGATTCGTTGGAAGCTACGTACAGAATTACTTATGGATTAAGATATATTTAATTCTCATATCTAGGATTAGATCCTTTAGATTGATAGTTGAATTTCACCAGACATGAAAATTATTGAGAATTACTTCTTTAGGGTGTAAATTCAGAGTAACTTTTTCTTATTAAAAATTATGTACAATTCCATTTCTTACCAGAATTCAATACCTACTTGTAACTTATCTTTATTGAAGAAACGATCCGTCGTAGAATCGTTTAGAATTCTTTGCGAAGTCAAATCTAGGCGCGAATTCCAGATTCGTTTGAGACGAGCTGTGATTATTGCTTGCGAATTCTTCATATCGCTGGAGATCGACTCATTGACATTTTCGTCGGGTTCCACTCGTTGGAATTCCGCGTCTGTGCCCACGTCGCGGCGTTTCTCGTACAATATAAACGCGTACGTAGGTTACACCGACACCTGTATGCAATCATTCGCGCGCGAGTGCAATCCCCATCTAGCTCCAGATTTTACACGGCTCTCGATGCTCGACTCTAGGATCTACTCCTGTCTTTATTTTCTTGCTGGGATTCTAGCACAGCTCTGCAACCAGAACTCAATGCACTTCCACCTTTTCCATTGTTATACATTCTACTGACCTCAATTGAGCTTTTCAACGATTACGTTAGTTCTTGGCATTAGGGTCTCCAATTCTGCTGAACGAGTGTGATAATTTAATGTTTGCCAAATAGTAGTAGTAGTAGTAGTAGTAGTAGTAGTAGTAGTAGTAGTAATTTTTTGATTTCATCTCGACATGGAAAGGGATTAGCGCCTCCTATTCATACGACACACTTAATTACGTTAACCTTATACTAGTTATCCTAAATTCTCCTCGCTTATTAATTACTTAACAATTGGTATTATTATTCCTACTACACAGTCTTTGTCAACAAATCCTAAATTTCTAATCCGAGGTCATAACTTAAAGTTATATTCTTTCATTTATTCCTTCTATTCTCTTTGGTCTTTTTTCTTGCCTCTAACTGCGTTAAGTTCAATTTTAGATATTTCTCTAATCATATTCTAGCTCACTAAAAATGTTACATCTCTACCATGGAAAAACTTCAAAGATATAACTGATTGTGGGTACCACACTTTTCGAAGGAATCGTACCTGCGAACCTGCTCGACTACCTTCACTCGTTAAGTCATCATCAGCTAAGGTACTTCCCATCACTTTCCCTCGCTAACGCATCGTTAAAGTGACTTTCCAAATAACGATAAATTTTAGCAATCACGGGCAGGACGCGTGGTATCTGGCCCGGTCGATCATATTCGACGTGCAAAAAAACTCGTTCCGCAGTAATTTACGAGCGACGCGGGGCCGAAGCGCAATTACGAATCGACGCGTTCTGAAAAGATTTCAATAAAACCGCGCGCAGAATTTACAATGCCGCTAACGAGTGGAAGGCTGCTCAGGATGTTTGCGAAGGAGCCGGCGATCGATTTCGATTGCTCCTCCTTGGGGATCACGGGCCGCGAGGATGATCGTTTCAACGCCATAAACCCTGGCCTTCATCTCCTCTTCCTATCCCACTTTTTTCCTCGCTCATCGTGGCATGCACCTTGCAGCTTCGACACTCTTTACTTTGCCATTCCTCGGCGAGTTTATCGCGCGAGAATAAACAGGGAAAACTTAGGAAAAACTTAGAAAACTTGGGAAAAATTATGAAAATCTTACGCAACATATTTACATTGATATCTTAAAACGTATTTAGTAATTTTTATTTTCGTTCTAACGATACAAATTTGCGATGTCCAGCTACAGAATTTTATCATTTTCGTCGGTACTCGGTATTACAATAGAAATGTGCTGTCAGGTGGGCCACCTTCCATCGTTTTCGCTTGACCATTCGAAAACCGCCGAGACAAAAGGGGCTCGCAACACCGTTACAATGCTCGCCGCGTCGAAACGCAGGAATTCCGTTTCCAAAATCGTTGGTCGCGAACTCGATTCCCCTCCGCGCCACGATTCGAGTAACAGATCTCGATCTCCGGTCGAACGCGGGCGTGCGGCGAGAAACGGACTCCAGGTGTGGGAGCAAGCGAGCGCGAGGGGTAACGGAGGGGTGGCATTATCTCCGAACCGGCCAGTGCCATTATCCATCGTCCATTTGAATTTTCAGCTCTCGTAATAACGACTAATACGAGACAAATGAACCGCGGGTGAAAGAAAGAGGGTGGAGGAAGCGGGAACCGGGGTAACGGTGGGAAGCGGAGCGAGGGGAGCGGAAAGAGGAGCGGAGAAGCCAAGTGATTAATGGAGTCTCCGCGGCGAGCGAGAGCCCCGTCGGATAAGATCTCCGATGGAATTCCCGTGGCTTTTATATTGGATTTCTTTTAAATTCGTTACTTTATCCGGCACTATGTTAATAGCGAGCCGATATGAGAGCTCGCGGTTAAGAGGAGTTCATTTATCATTCGCCGAAGCCCTTCCACCCAGCGAACCAAAGGGATCCATCGAACGCATCGAGCGTTCGAGTGCGCGCGTTAGTCACGAGTCTCGCTAAATTTTTGGCGGGTTCCGATCCGACCATTTCCTCGCGCCCTCCCACCGCCGCCCGCCCCCCCGCCCCTCGGCGAATTTGTGTCTTTGAACCTCGGAAACCGGTTTCGCGGTTGGGGCTCCTTTCCTCGAGTGCCACTCGGTAATGATCGGATGCGAGGAA